TATGAGGTAGCAAAGTCAATCACACAAATTTTGCAGGACCTACAGAACTGATGGTTGGCTCAGTGAGAATCTGCCCACCAGGATATTGCAACTGACTTCACCCAAGCAGTCGGAATTAGGACAAGGTTGCAAACCCTGCATCACAAACAGACCTGAGAGGGAAAGGAGAAATTAACTGAAGGCTCTTTCTCCGTTTCCTTCTCAGAGCTGATTAACCAAAATAAATGATAGGAAATGGGTTTCTACCCTTAAAATGCAATTAAGTGTTCCTGCTTGCATGTGGATGCTCTTGGGATGCTGGGAGGCTTGGAGGTGTGTACAGTTCCTGTGCTGAGAAGTTATCCTAAAGCACTTTGAGGGATCTCATAAGTGATGTATAGCCCCTGAGCAAGTGGTTGCAGCCTGCCAGGTGCACAAGAGATTTGGTTTTCCTGAAAAATGCAAATAGTATTGCGTTCACCTTAACTCATCCAGTGCGTTCGTGTGTCTGGACTGCTACAAGCGCATATTCTTATCTCTGCAGTCTGTCTACAGGTTTTTAGGGAAATTCCTGCCTTAGCATTGCTCTTGTCTAAAGTTTACTCAAAGTTAGGTGGGTGACTGGCACCAAGTTGCTTTTGAGGTTCCTTCCTTGTTGTCTGTAAATGGGGTGAAGTGAAACAGAGAGGATTTTCTAGCACTTCCCTTCTCATCCAGGCTATGATCTCCTCCGACCTGCATGTCAGGCAGCCAAAGGATTTGCTGTTTTCCACCATCTCCCTCCAGCCTGTCCCTCCCTGCTCCTGAGTGACGTGGGCTGCTTAACAGGCTGCTGACAAGTATCACATCTGTTCTCGGGCACTGCTCCACGCTCATGCAACAAAGCTTACAGATTAAGCCTCCTGTCTTGGCCAATTTTTGTTTCTCCACCTGGAGAATCCGTTTTGGCCCGTGAATAACTCAGTCAAACATCTGCAGTCCTGGCTGGTTCCTTCGCCAGCAGCTCACCCGCTTGAATTTGCTGGCTCCTCTCCATTCCCGAGGGCTGCGTTTCTCCAGGCAGGGCTGTGTCCCTAGATGCCACGTGCCCATCCAGGCTCCACTTCGCTTCCTCGTTTGATGTACTTGGTGTGGAGATGAAGCCAACCCTAGAAGTGAATGTGGTTTATTTATGCATTTTAGACTCAAAATTCTCAAAGCTCTTTATAGTTTCTTTCCCTCGTGGAGTCTTTCTGAGATGTGTGCTTCTTTCTCCTCGCTCTGAACTTTGGATTCAGTAGACGAAGACTGTTCTCCCGCTTGAAGAGGTGAGATTTCATGAGATCATGTGCAGCTCAGTGGCATTATTCTGAATGAGGGGCTAATTACCTATGCTGTCGTTATGAATTGCTAATTATCAGCACTATTAGTGGTAGCAGTGGCAGTGATGCTAGATCATCTCTGCCTCTTCCCTATGAGTGGGAAACGTTTCTGTCTGCTTTCTCAGTGGAAAACCTGAATTGCAGAGGTTTAACAGTGTGATTAGTCTTGCAGCAGGCTTGTTGTTGCTGACCCTGGGAGTGTGCCATGTAAACCAAGATCAAGAGGTTCACTACATGGTGCTCCATCTCAGCTCTCTGCCGTCACACGGGACAGTTAATCAGAGACTCAGAGGATGAAGATTATGGTTGGTTTGTTTATTTATTTTCCTTTTTTTGGTTGCTGTGACAGTATTTTTGATTTAACACCAGCACGGATACAGCACTTGCAAGAATTTCGTTGGTTTATAATCTTTTGCTGACCCTGGTGGTTACTCATGAGTTGACCTTTCCTTTTTTATATCTGGGGGGGTGGGTCTTGAATTTTCCTGAAGTGGCTATTCCAGTGAATATTTACACCAAGATTTATTTTACTCTTCCACCCACCAAGGTGATAAGCGACAATCATCCATTTTCCTGGCGACTTTAAGCACTGGCCACTCCTGAGAAGACAAATGTGATGCATTGAGCTTGACTGGATGGCATGTGGCTTCCATGATGAATGCCCTTCCTTTGATTTCTGTTTGTTCCTGCTGTCTCTGTAGAATCAGTTATTCACAACTGTCATGTTGTAACTAAAACGCATTGTAGTCATCTACGCAGGCAGAGCTCGGCTTCCTCCGAAGCAGCATCTCCTGTCACACGTAGGAGTACAAACCTTTCAGCTTTTCCTCCTCTTAATGCCTCTCGGAGCGGTGCTGCATGATGAATATCTTGGAGGGTTTTGGAGCACATGGTGGTTAGTGAAAGCCAAGGATCAGAATGGGTGAACATTATTACCCGTTCCAGAATTGATAAGTGGAGAGGACAAGCTACCAAAAAAGTATTGGAGGTAAAGCTGGGCAGGAGGCAGCAGCATATTTCCTGCTTAGATTTCCTTTCTGGAGATTTTTTGCAAGTCGGTAACATAAACAGCAATTATGCGCAATAAAAGAGGAAACTTATTTACTGCGAGCAAACATTCCCATGGGACTTTGTGTATTTTCATTTAGAACCAGCAGGAAAACTTCAACTGAAATATTTTTAGATGAAATATGGCATTTTGATATAAATTTCTCTCCTTTTCTTTGAATGGGCACTGAAATTCAGTTTGAGAAGCTCTCAAACGGAAACTCTGGGAGTTTTCCAGTTGCTGCAAATGGGGAATATTTCAGTTCCTGAATGGTGATGAATGTAGTGGAAGAGAGACACATGCTTTTAGCGATACATTTCATAAAGCAAAACACAGCCTTCCGACCAGTTCCAGCTTCATGAAGCCGCTTCTGGAGACAGAAGAAAGAGCAAGCGATGCATTCCTCTGCCGAGAAGACCCTCCAGTCTTCAACCTGGATGCATTTGCTGCAGCTCTGTAGCACTCAGAAGGGACTCAATGAGCAGAGACCCAAGGGATTGTCTTCTGGAAGTTACCTCCCCAGAAGCTCTGGCAAAGAGGAGGGCACAGTTGGCTTTAACCTCGGCAACGTGAAACGTGTGCACGTCTGCACAGAAGCTACCGCAGCTTTGCAACCCGGCACAGCTTCTCCCTTGTTTTCTTACGCGTTTAAAGTTGAGATGAAAGGGACAAGTCCTAGATACCTTTTACTTTCCTTAGGCCAGACAGGACCTGGCAGAGGATGAAAGGCTTTGTAAGGAGAGCTCTCCCTTGCCTGCTCCTGAGGGGTGAGGGAGCGGTGCCATGGCTCATCTGCTGTGTCCTTCTTTCCCGCTTCAGTCCTTCACGAAAGTCCCCGCTGGCTGTTGCCTCCTGCTCCCACCCGGCACAGCCCAGCGCCGGGAATCCTGTGCTGACTTGAGGCTGTAACGCAGGAAGCGTGGCCCCTCCAGCTCTGGCCATTTAAAGGCATCTTGTCACCTTATGCTGTCTGATCTTATTCCTTCCCCTCCGGGGAGAAATCAAAACAGAGAGGAGGTCCGCGGCCCCAACCAGCAGGCACTGAACCAGAAACGAGGACATGAAAAAGGAAGAAGGAGAAAGTTGTCGATCCAGCTGACGCATGCAGGAGCCAGACATGAGCTGAATTCCAAGGAGGTGCTGTCAACTCTGAGTGGTGTTTTGGCTTCCCCTCTTTTGAGGATGGGGTCATGGGCTGTGCTGTCAGATGGGAACAGGGGAAGGGAGGCAGAGGACTGGGATGTGCCACCAAAATCAAGATGAGGTCTCAGCTGACAGCAGCTCTTGCATCAGTGGCTGGTACCAG